GATGACTTGAGGGACAAAGGACTTCCTGAATCTGTCCGTGGAGCAAGTCTGGAACAGCAGTCTACCACAGAAGAAGCTCCTCTGCTTCATGATGGAGCTGTGCAGAGGATGGTCAGCATTATTCATGATGAATAGCAGCTTAGTGAGGGCCCTTTTCTGTGCCACCGATGTAAGGGAGTCCAGCTCTGTTTCCAGTACAGAACCAGCTTTCCTCACTAGCCTGTCGAGTCACCCTGCATCTTTCCACTTAATGCTGCCGCCCCAACACACAACAAAACAGAAGAGGACACTGGCTACCATAGACTAGTAGAACATCAGCAGTAGTTTCCTGAAGATACCGAAGGACCCAAGCCTCCTCAGGAAGTAGAGCATGCTCTGACCCTTCCTGTAGAGGGAGTCCGTGTTCACTGACCAGTCCAGCCTGTCATCCAATTGTATGCCCAGATATTTGTAGGTCCTGACCACCTCCACATCGACCCTCTCAATTGAGACAGGCTTCATGGTAGGTCCAGACTTTCTGAAGTCCACTAGCATTTCCTTTGTTTTACTGAGTGAAGTGGCTGTAGCTGAGAGGTTAGAGCATTTGTCCTCCAATGCAAGAGTTGTGGGTTTGAATCCACCAGCTGTCACATGCTGAAGTGTCCCTGGGCAAGACAGTGAACCCCTCATTGCCTCTAATGTGTACCTCATTGGTGTATGAATGTGATCTAAAGCTCTGATTAGTCTCTTTAGAATGATTTGTTCAGTTAGCTTTGTATACAGGTGCTGGTCATAAAGTGAAAATATCAAGAAAAAGTTGATTTATTTTAGTAATTCCATTCAAAAAGTGAAATGTATATTATATTCATTCATTACACACAGACTGATATAGTTCAAATGTTAATTTATTTGAATGTTGATGATTATAACTGACAACTAATAAAAACCCCAAATTCAGTATCTCAGAAAATTAGAATATTACTTGAGACCAATTAGAAAAAAAGGATTTTAGAAATGTTGTCCAACTGAAAAGTATGAACATGAAAAGTATGAACATGAAAAGTATGAACATGAAAAGTATGAACATGAAAAATATGAGCATGTACAGCACTCAATACTTAGTTGGGGCTCCTTTTGCCTGGATTACTGTAGCAATGCGGCGTGGCATGGAGTCGACCAGTCTGTGGCACTGCTCAGGTGTTCTGAGAGTCCAGGTTGCTCTGATAGTGGCATTCAGCTCTTCTGAATTGTTGGTTCTGAGGTATTGCATCTTCTTCTTCACAATACCCCATAAGAGTTTCTATGGGGTTACGGTCAGACGAGTTTGCTGGCCAATTAAGAACAGGGATACCATGGTCCTTAAACTAGGTACTGGTAGCTTTGGCACTGTGTGCAGGTGCCAAGTCCTGTTGGAAAATGAAATCTACATCTCCATAAAGTTGGTGAGCAGCAGGAAGCATGAAGTGCTCTAAAACTTCTTGGTAGATGGTTGCGTTAACTTGGACCTCAGAAAACACAGTGAACCATCACCAGCAGATGACATGGCCACAAACCACCACTGACTGTGGAAACTTGACACGGGACCTCAAGTAACGTGGATTCTGTGCCTCTCCTCTCTTCCTCCAGACTCTGGGAACTTGATTTTACTTTCATCAGAGAACATAACTTTGGACCAGTCAGCAGCAGTCCCAGGTGAGACACTTCTGATGCTGTCTCTTGTTCAAGAGTGGCTTGACACAAGGAATGCGACAACTGAAACCCATGTCTTGCATACATCTGTGCATGGTGGTTCTTGAAGCACTGACTCCAGCGGCAGTCTGCTCTTTGTGAATTTCCCCCACATTTTGGAATGGGTTTTGTTTCACAGTTCTTTCCAAATACGGTTATCCGTCACGTTTTCTGCTCTGCCTGCCATAGTTCCTGTTCATGTTAGTTTGTTTCATCTCAGCTCCTGTCAACCTGAACCTCAGTCTGCTCATGTAACCACACCCACTCAGCTGAGTCACCACAATCAGCCCTCATGCAGCTCACCTGTTGTCACCTGTATTAAAACCCCACAGCCACACTGCTCATTGCCAGATTATTGAAAGCCTCACAGTGAGTAAATGTCCAGCATTCATGCCACAGTTTTGTTTGTCTTCCTGGTTCTGACTTCATGCCTGTCTTATGGATTACCCATCTTGACCATCCCCTGCTTGCTTTGAATTATCTACTCTGCTCATGGTAACGACAGCTGCCTTCTCTACAACAAGTCTGGTTTCAGATTTCTGATCATCTGTGCATGACCCTCGCCTGTCTCCCTGGACCTGTCTTTTGGATCTCCCTGCTAACTGCTTCAAGCTCAGTCCTGCCTCAAAACCAGCTCACCTTCTCCAACAATGACATCACACAATCCAACTCCTCTAAGGAAATCTTCCCTCACCTGCTTACAAAGGTTGGTGTTTATAAACTTAACAATCAAACCAAAGCCATTGAACTCCAAATGACTAACCTTCCTGTCTCTTCAGATCGTGCTGGCCCAAGGACTCAGACCTCCACCAGAAGCTGTTTATCAATAAATCTTTTAAACCTTCCTGTTGTCTGTGATCTGGTTCGAATCCCTAAATCTGGTTCTTGTCATTATCCCTATTGCTTGTACACTATTTTCTATCACATCTTGTCCTTTCCTTTGCCTCTCTATTATGGCCCTTTTCCATTAGTAACGGTACGTAGAACCGGTCCCTTTTTTCGGAAACCTTTTCTTTGTGGTTACAACCGGGCCAAGCAGGTACCAAAACGTGACGTCAGAGCACTGATGGTCACTGAGTGGTCAGGGGGTGGAGTCACTGGCTGTTTGAGAAATTTCACAACATTCGATCTGCCATTTGCAACTACTGGTGTTTGAACTCAAGGAGCGACTGGACCTATTTTAAAGATTTTCAAAACAATAATGGCAACACCGTGTTCTAATGCTGAAGTGCATTTTTTTGTGCTTGGTGGGTGGCCGACGACAAAATTCAGAACGAGCTAGATGGAGCTCTGCTGGTCCAACCGGAGCTTCAGAGCCCCCTCAGGCTGTGCAGGGTGTCAATAACCTGGCTCCGAGTTCCACTGGTCACCGCAGAAGAGCCTCTGTGCTGCCAACTCGGGGTCCAGATCCTGGATCCTTGGTCATCTGAGTAGTTCTGTATGTGGCAGGTCTCCGAGTTTATATTTGAAGTCAGATGTGTACAGGGTGAACAGAACTGGAGACAGCACGGTCCCCTGAGGTGCTCCTGTGCTGCTAACCACTGTGCCAGAGATGCAGTCCCAGATCCTGACATGCTGTGGTCTCTCAGTGAGATAGTTTGTAATCCAGGAGACCAGATGTGTGTCCACCTCCATCTCCTCAAGCTTGTCTCTCAGTAGCAGGGTCTGCAGAGAGTTGAAGACACTGGAGAAGTTGAAAAACATGACCCTCACTGCACTGTTTCTCTTGTCTAGGTGAGAGTGAGCCCTGTCCATAAGGTAGACAATGGCAACATCCACCCTCACCTTCTCCTGGTATGCGAACTGTAGAGGGCCCTCAGCATGGCGAACCTGAGGTCTAAGGAGTTTCAGCAGCAGTTCCTCCAGGATCTTCAGCTCCAAAGGAAAAAATAATCGTCAGTCAGAGTAGGCGGCACCAGACACTTGCATAGGCGGCAAAATCGTCACCTGCCACCTGTTACTGAGAAGGTAGAGGATATAGGAGAAGCTCCTGGTCCAGTCCTCATCGCCTTATGTGGTCTTTTCTGGACTTTCTGAAGCTGTTTTAGGGTTTTACTTTGGACTTTGGCTACTTTTTTAATAAGATTTTGGTGCAGTTTTTGTTTTTCTTATGAATAGAGCATTGAAGACCAACTCCTATTTCTGTTGTTGACTTTGTGGAAAAAAAGGTTATTTTGCACCAATAAAGTGTATTTTAGTGAATTGTTACTACAAACCTGAAAAATAGCATGTAGTGTCCATTACTGTGGAAACTGATTAATGAAAGGACAAAAGAAAAGGCCGAAATAAAAAACAATCTGCAGAAAATAAACAATGTCTGAAAGAAACATTCATAAAAATAAAGTAAGAGGATTAGAGGTGCTGGAAGGGTTCCACAACAGTTTGATCATTCAAATAAAAACTGGCATAAACATAAGTCTCAAGAACAAGTTCACAGGTTTGAAGATGACAATATGAACGAGACAATTAAAAAAAGAGAAGAAACTGAACTCCGGTTACGATGGGGCTACAGATATATTTCATCATGTTATTTGCCTAATGTCAACTTTATAACAGCTTAGAAGAAGTGCAGTTTATTAGAATTAAGTTTCGAGAAGAGCCATCTTACTACGCTGGAAGCAACAATCCCCACCCAATTTTACTAAATGGATAAGGGACATCATGTATTTTCTGAAATTAGAAAAGATTAGATGCACATTAAAAGGAGCCACACAACAATTCTCAGGGACCTGGAGCCCATTTCCAAATTATTTTAGGACACTCCATATACCCCTTGATGATAGAAGCAATGAGGAAGAACAGTGTTTTTGTTTTCTTTATTTTATTTAATTTTAAATTACTTTTTTTTAATTGTTATTATTTATTTTAATTTTACTTATCTAGTTGTATTTGGCTTGTTTATGTTTTTCCATTCTGTTCTTATAGATTGTCATATTACTATTTTATGACATGTAGTAAAATCTTGAGTTGATATGTTGTCATACTGAATCTACTCAGAATGATGTGGGGAGGGTGTTGTTTTATTATTTTATTTATTTATTTTGGTTTTGTTCTTTGGGTGGGGTGGAATTACATCTTTGTATAAACATTGTCTCAAGATGATTATTATACACTTAAGATGCACGTAAAAATGAATGTTATGTATATAACATAATAAAAAAAGAGAAGACCCCCCCCCCCCCAAAAAAAAACAAAAAAAAAAAAAAAAAAACAGAGGAAAACCATATTGTTTGACGGAGACACAAGAGACAGAAGGACGGACAGGGACAGGCGGACAGAGCAGTATAACTCACGGCGTGCTGCCTGACAGCTGTTTGACGGCGGTGCAGTCGTACAAGGTGAAATCTCTGGACGTGACCGTGACGTCTCCAAAGCGAACTGACAAAGTGAGGATGACTGAGTCTGAGGACAGAACCACACGGAGACAGAATGAGACACCCCCTGCAGCTATGAGACTATGAGACCATTATCAACACATGAAGCAACGAGTGTTATTGAATCTGATCGGACATATCCAGCTGTAATACACAGCTCTAACCTCCTGGTGGATTTTCATGTGGGACAGATGATTACCAACATCTTTCTTCTTCTCCGTTTTATTCTGATTGTCGGTCATCACCTGAGCGTCAGCGTCAATCATGTGTGAAGATGTTCTCTCGCACTGATCAATGTTCTGCTGTGAAGTTTGTACTTTATGCTAGATGTAGTTGTTTCTGATTAGCTGCGCTCTGCACTTTACCTGAACCCAACTAAGGCCTGTGGAGTCTGAAATTGAGCTCGTCATTTCTCTGAGCATTGCACTGTCTGACCTTGGGGTGAAGTAGCTGAACCTCCACTCCTGGCAGTTTGGCAGCAGTTTTTCCATTGTGAATATTATTTTTCTCTGGAACTGATGGACTCTAAATAGTTGGGAAATAACCTTAAACCTGTCCCAGATTGATGGGCAGCAACAGGTGCTTCTCTCAAGTCATTGCTGATGTTATTCCGCTCTGGCATTACATTAACACACATCTGTATGCTCTGGAGAATGAAAACTCCTGATTTTATAGAGGCTATTTTCATTAGCTATGAAACCCATAGCACTGAACACAAAACAGATTTTCTTTTGACTATGACTGTAACCTTTCCAGCAGCTTCAAGTGACATGTACCATGGGAAGGAGCTCTCAGTTCACTGAGAACACTAGTCACAGAATAATAGAATCTCTGGATGAAATTCCACACATTAAAATACAGGCTACCGTCCGCTGCTTAAGACCGTTTAAACAAACAAAACAAACAAACAAAATAAATAAATTAGAATACAACTGTATCCATGCATTCAGTTTGATTCATGCAGCCCAGGCTGCATCCCAGTCCCCCAGACCATTAACTGATAAGCAGTAAATACAGTCCTGCAGCCTCAGGTCTGGTTTCATGAAACTCACTCTGGTTATAAAACACACTTCCACTCTGAGTGCTTCCTGATCACATCATACATTAAACAGAACGAGCTGGACCCACCCTGTCCGGGAGGCACCGAGGGCAGGCCACTGGAGTCAGGAGACTGGCAGCTGAGTCCAGTTTCAGTGAGGGTGGCAGGACTGCGGCTGTGCTGGAAGAAGCAGGAGTAGGACTCATCCTTTTCTAAGACTGGGAGTCCTGGGATAGACAGGGACACCTAAGGAGAAACAAATATCACTGAAATTGGTGGACAACTGGACTTTGATCTCATGGAAAACATGAAGGTTGGAGACTACCTCAAACAGCCCACCACCTGGATCTGACTAACCACACAGAGAAAACACACGGCAGCCATTCAGATGTTTCAGCTGACCAACAACTTGTTTCTGTGGTCACTGACCTGCATCAGAAGAAACAACTTCCAGTCCAAACCGGGCTGCCAAATATACACGGCACCAAGAAATATGGTTTAACCAGTGCTTAATTTGAGCCGGATCCTGCTGGAACAGGATCCAGGAACTCTTCTTTTGACAGGGTGCATTCCAATAACTGCTTGGATCTGGTAACTCTCAGGCTGACTAATAATAAAGTTATGAACAAATGTGAATGTCTTGAATGAATAAAACCTATATTGTACATGTAATGTGAAAATGATTATACAAACACTCATTTTAAACATAGCCTCTTACGGGCAATAGGTCAGCTTGTGACAGCCTGCTTATTGCACTGAGCTGGCTGCACTTTGTTTTTCTCTCCCTCGGCCCCTATTGTCTTTTCACCTTAAGACATGCCCTGAACACACCTGCCACCCATAGACTCACTTGACTGTCAACTGTCCAAATTGATTCCTGTCCTGTGTATAAAGATGACAGTTCTCCCTGGACTGAAAGAGCAGCAGTCACATCCACCTTTCCATCCTACAGATGCATAAAGAAGACATTAAAATAAATCAGAGGCCGTTTAACCCTCATGTTCTTGGTGTACCCGGGTGCAGACATCATTTGTGGGATTGATACAAATTCAGTAAAATAAATATCGGTTCGCTCCTGTGCTCCTGCCGCCTCCCTGTTTATCGTACAATGTTGGTGCCAGAGGGTTTTCTGTGCGTCTTGGGGAATTAGACAAGTGTACTAAATTTCATGTTTCTATGACAAACTAAGGTTAACGCGGAGGGTATTTTGAAAATTTCCAGGTGGCATTCTTGAGCAGTTTCTGTTGCGATTTTTGCAACACCCTTAAAATACGTAATTTTTTAGCAGTCCTGATGCGTCCGCCAAATTTGGTGAGTTTTGGGATATGTTAAGGCCCCCAAAAGGCCAATTAATTTGCCCCCCAAAAAACTGCAGCTCGGGCCTGAACAGAGCGATTACAATAGGACTTCGTAGCGCTTCGTAGCTCGGGCCTAACAAACACCGTGAACTTCACTACCTCCACATTTCAGCTATCTTTGTTTGTTAGTTTGTCCGAGGTTAGCCTTTCCTGGGTTACATTTCCTCGTGGGTGGATCGATCTTACCATTCACCTAATATATTTGATAATGTTTTTATAGAAACAATTCCTGAATGTTGTTCATACTGTGTTAATGCTACATTTGCCTCTTGACCCTGCAACTGGGTAAGATTACAATAGACCTAGCCCACTACTGGAGTTTTAATTAAGTATTTTAAGTTACTAATAAATATGATGGATGATGATCATATTGCTTTATGCTATTAGTAAGAAGGAGTGATTATTATTATCATTTCTTATTGGTTGGTGATTTTTTTCCCCCCTAAAATTTAACTTAGGCTACACTGTGTTTCTTAGACTGTAACTAGGATACGTGAGAGAAGCGGAGCATACTCTATTCACACAAGGAGAGCTGTTGGTCAGGTTACTTCTTGTTGTGCCATTAACTCTAAAATAGTTATTGAATCAAGTGTTACTTGTGTAGGTAAAACTAGATGTTAAACAACCCATTAAAATACACCAGAATGCAGGAAATGACATCTACTTTATTCAAAAATTTCTAGGGGAGGACCCCGAGAACCCCCACTAATGTGTCCTCCACACTTTACAAATGGTTCTAATGCCAATGGCCACTGCGTTGCTAACCATCTTCCAGAGTAGGACCCTCACTCAGACCAAAGCAGGACTCTCATATATAACATACTACGCATCTTGTGAACAACAAGATTATAGTCTTTTTCATTTGAAATGGGCCAGATCACTTAAATTAAAGGTAAACAAATGAAAATTGCTGCTGCAATTTGATTCTTTTAATAAGCCATGTAACTTGCTATGATCCCAGATTTTGAACAGGTGTGATACTGGTGTGTGACTACAGCATGCACCTCTGATGTAGCTCACAGTGGTCCTCAGTGCGCTCAGGGAGCTTGTGTGTTTGCCCAGACGCATGAAAAATTACAGGGAACTTTGCCGGGGTTGATCATAAACACATATTCATGTTAGGATGCTTGAGAGAAGAGCAGCGCTACGTCTGTAGCATGTTAGCAGTAACTGTGATGCTGTAAGACGCTGCAGGTGTAAGAGACGCCATACCATATCATACCAATTTATTTATAAAGCACTTTAAACAGTGACAAAGCACACCAAAGTGCTGTACAGGGACAAACAGAACAAGCACACAGCAACAGATTACATAACAGGACACCAAAAAGTAGAAACCAACAGAAACAATAATGGATAACAACAACAACCGCAACATGACCAACACAGTGTGACGCACACAGACTCAGCACAGATCACACAGTGCAGAAAGCCAGGGAATAGAAGTGTGTTTTTAAGCAAGATTTAAAAACTGTGAGGGAGGGGGCCTGTCTAACGAGCAGAGGTAACTCATTCCAGACGCTGTGTGTTCAGGTGCATTAAAGTTGAAATGTTTTAAACCCCCACACCTTATTGTCCTCAAGCTTCATGACGAACATCATTTAGATGAGGAGTGTTGAACACAAGTAAAAAAGGTCTAGTGTTGATATTTTCTATTTCTCTATAAACACAAATAGTGCTGATCTGAAGTGCATTAAAGTTAAAATGTCTTTAAAACAGCTGAATTTACACAAACTTGTTGCAAAACATGCTTTAAATGGAATTAGAGTAAGGAAATCTAGATGAAACGTTGCTTTTTTGTACACTAGTGTACAATTTTTTTGCACACTGGTGCGTGTGCATGTGCACATGCACACACACACACACACACACTAGTGTGCCCCCCACATTACAGATGCTTCAGACGCCCATGGTTCTCGGCCACGCCCACTTCTCCACTTTGCAGGTGATCAGCTGATCAGCTGAAGGAAACTTATCCTGCAGTGTGGGCTGCACAAATGTGCAGGAGATGCTAAATAATTTATAGTGAATAAAAATTCCATGCAGATCGTGCGGCTCATCCATCAATCAGCCAATCTTATTAACCGCGATAGAACGAGTCCGTGAAAAACAAACCGCGAAGTAGCGAGGGACTACTGTACGGGATGTTGTTTTTTAACAAAAGAAAAGTTATGCTACCAACAAAAAGTTGATCATAAATTAGCTAATGTTTTTTAGTTTGTTGTTTTCTGTCTGCAAGCATTCACTGATATGAGCTTACCATCCTGCTCTCCTCCCTGCTGATGTTGAAAGGGTTCAGGTCCTGCACAGACAAACACTGCTGATCTATGTCAAAGCTCCACAACCACTGGCCCGGCTGGTTCCCACGACTGCACTGAGATTCCAACACACATCTGCAAAGGAAACCAACATTAAAAATATACATAACAGAGGAAACAAGAGAAAACATGTAACCATGTTAAATGAGCAGAGCCAAAATAAACAAAAGTCTGAAAGATGAAAAGAACAAGAGCACAAAATAAGCACATTATACACACCTATGGTTCATCAATCTATAGCAATGGTCCGGACAAGCGAAGGTCTTACCTGGGCTAATGAAACATGTATGTCATACTTGTATGAAACTTTGTTCAATTATCTTGAGTGAATCAGAAGTTATGGGCAGGACAAGCAAAGTCCTTGTTTTAACTTTGACCTTGTGTGTGACCTTGGCCTTGGAGCTGGGGTGATAAAAAGTGTGAAAAATAAGTAAGAAAGTGAAAAGTTTATGAACGTATGTACGGACAAAAACTATACCATAGTACTTCGACATGCTTCAGTCAAATCAGACACAAGATTGAATCTTCGAACTGGGAAATATCAGAAGAAAATTTGAAGAGTGCAGCTTCAGCATTCACCAACATTCTCCTCTAAAGCCTAAACGTCATTTTAGACTTTGTAAAAGTCAGAGTTAGGACAGAACTCAGCACACACCTGCAATCTAGACCAGACAGAAACAAAAACTAATTAAAGCTGCAAGCAGCATTGGAGGCCCTCGCATCAAAGCGCCGCTCTGGCCCTCTGGCGACCGCGGGAGCTCCATCTAGTCCACCCAGTCACCGTCATGAACTCTCTCATGCCAATCCTGCACACGTTCACCACGGGGATCCAATAATCAACAGTTTTTTCTCTGAGTAGGTGGGGCTTAAGTGATGTCATGAATAAACAATACCAATGTGTCTACAAGTGCTCACTGATGAAGCACAAAAAAATCAGGTGCAGATCAGATGATGTATCAATAAGATATAACTGTTTGAATAATGTAGGGGGTGCACTGGAGTTTAGTGTTAAACAACAACATCAATGTGTGTAAAGGTGCTCACTGATTATGTACAATAAATCAGGTTCAGATCAGATGATGTATCAATAAGATATAACTGTTTCAATAATGTAGGGGGCGCACTGGACTCATATGTTAAACCACAACATCAATGTGTCTAGACATGCTCACTGACGCACAATAAATCTGGTACAGATCAGATGATGTGTCACTGAGATAACTGTAGGAATAATCTAGGGGGCGCTGTGTAGATTATTGGCCACTTATCATGAATTCCTGTTCAAAGGGTGGAAAATGATCGATCATACTGATTTTGGTGCACCTCGGTTCAAATCTGTAGAATTTATAGCCAAACGTATTGCAACGGTGTCACTTCTGAATTTGTCACGCCACCACGCCCACATCCTCCTTCGAAACCTGTTTGTAATTTAAAGTCAGACCAACTTGTTATACGTCTTCTAACACAGGATCATCCTGATTAGGTCAAGGGTGTCAGAGAGGGAGTATTCCAAGTAAAAAAAGTGACTTCCTGTTCTGAGGGGGCGGGGCTTTGAAGACGTCAGAATATGACCACAGAGGATCGTCGGGAATCCAACAGGGATGACTCATGCCAAGTTTGGTGCATGTCGGTCTTTCAATGTGAAAGTTATAGCGTTTGGAAATTTACAGCGTGAAGCGCAACTTTGAGGCCTTTGAGGCATTTTTTGTTTTGGTTTAAGCAAAATCATTTGGAAAAATATAGAACAGGACTATTTTAAATGAACGTGCTGCTCGCTTCAGCTTTTTTTAAAGATTATTTTAAGATTATTTTTATTTATTTTTCTCTTTTGCTTTGGCTTTAATGCTGCTACTTCCTTCACCGCAGATGACAAGAGGTGCGGAGACGCCCGCGTGAACTGGCCCATTCACCCTTCCTTTATATTTACCCTCTTCTTCCTTTTCAGGGTTAGCGTTAGTCACTGGTGGTGCCCATGTCCAGCCATCACTGTACGAGAGGTGGGGGACACCCTGGACTGGTCGCAAGTCCATTTCAATTGGCAGGTTAGCAGACGCACGGCTGCTCACGCACACAGCCTGTGACAGGTTGACCATCTGAGCTTAACGTGGCTTTTTTACCTCCTGCCACCTCCTCCTCAAGTAGATTAACACAATTTTATATTGTGCATTCTTTACTTTTCTTTAGTGCTGATTCGTAAAACCACATTAAACCTGAGACCGGCCCAGCTTGCACATTAAGCACATTATATGGACCGGCCCGGTCATGACAACGCAGCACGTTAACGTCATATCCGGAAGATGTCTGTAAATATCAGCTAAGTCTCAGGCTTTGGTGATCCCGTGCGAATGTGCCACATAAGAAGCAGACGTGGGGATTAATTTATTTATTACACGTGGTCCTTAGGTAAAACTAATCCCGTGCGAACAGGGCTTTAGGGACCTTTAGGAGGTTCAGCGCTGAAGACCGAAGGGTGCTGGCTGGAGAATAAGGAGTCAACATTTCAGTCATGCACTGGGGGGCCAGACCATTTAAAGGTCTACAAGTTAAGATTAAAATTTTAAAATTAATTCTAAATTCAACAGGTAGCCATTGATGAGAAGATAAAACCGGTGTAATGTGAGACCTTCTGTTAGTTCCTGTTAAAAGCATCGCAGCAGCGTTCTGGACCAACTGGAGACAAGCGGCAGCAGATTTGTTAAAACAAGTAAAAAGGAATTATGATAATTTAAACAAGAAGAGATAAAAACTTGAGGAAGATGGCGCTAGTGTGTGTGGCTTGCCGTCTCTCGCTGTTTGTGTTCGTGCTGTTTTTGTTTGTTATCACCGGTGCCAGTTCTCTGCTTGTGTATGAAACATTGTTGGATCTTCGTCTCTCTGCCAAGGATTTAGTGAAATTCGACACTGATCGTGGTGTTCACACGACGTTTCAGCAGTTTTCCTTCACCAGTCGGACACCTGCCACACCCACGCTCCTCTCCCTTTGGATTGAAATCCAGATGCATTAACAAGGATTAACAACTCCAAATAGTCAAAATACTGAAAAGGATGAAAATGGACGGGCTGCTCCAGAACCGTGCACACCGGGCTGCACAAAGAGAACAGGAGAAACTTCAGATCCCCAGAATCCCCGTGGGTAGAATCGAAATCCTACGGGCCAGACATCCTCCCGGTTTGTATGGCCCAGGGGGCCCAGGGGGCCCAGGGGGCCCAGCATGACGGTCCGGCCGCAGGCAGGAGCGGACCTCTCTGCTGCCAGGGTGTCCACTCATTCTGAAAGGCGTGTTCTGGCTCGGTTCTGTTCAATAAAATATTTATTCCTGCTGGAAATCCTGCTCCAATAAAACTCTCCATGACGAGACCAAGATCCGTCTGAACAGAACTTAGTGAAATTTAGTGAAAAAACAAACAAACATGGACCAACAATAAAAATAATTTGTCATTAAAAAATGATAAATACAAAAATCCTTAGATACTGATAAACACTTGTTCCTATCCATCCATCCATTTTCTTTACCCGCTTATTCCATTTTGGGTCACGGGGGTCGCTGGTGCCCATGTCCAGCAGTCACTGTGCGAGGGGCGGGGGACACCCTGGACAGGTCTCCAGTCCATCACAGGGCCACATAGAGACAAACGAGACAAACAACCATTCACTCTCTCACTCACACCTAGGGACAATTTAGAGTTACCAATCAGCCTAACATGCATGTTTTTGGTCTGTGGGAGGAAACCGGAGTACCCGGAGAAAACCCACGCATGCACGGAGAGAACATGCAAACTCCACCCAGAAAGACCCCTGGACCGGGGTTTGAACCAGGGACCTGCTCGCTGAGAGGCAGCAGCTCTACCAGTTGCGCCACCGTGCTGCCCCACTTGTTCCTAATTAAATACAATCTAGTCTAAAACAATCCCACAAACAATGACGGATGTGGTGCTGAGGTTTAATGCTGTTCATCTCACCTTCCCTCCAGGACACACCAGCCACAGTAGGGGTCGTGGGTCTTCAGACAGGACTGACAGTCTGGGTGCTGCTGGCATTCAGCCACAGGCCTCTTCTGCAGCTGGAACCAGAACAAAACAATCAGGCTCATTCATGCAAACCGTCCACACTAAGCTCCTAAAAATCTGATTACAAAGACTAGATGGCCCACAAGTTCCAGTGCAACAATGAAAGTGGAGAAAATGGCTGTCAGAATAATCTGCAGCCGTATGAAACAAGTGGGGCAGAAACATGACAGTAATTTATTTTTCTTGTATTTATTGCTACAGAAGAAACAAAGGTTGACGCAGGATTGCAGTGACTGTGTGTTTTGGTGTGTACCATGTTCTGAGTCATGATGAAGAGGTGCTCTTCTTCCTGGTCCAGCATGAGATCAGAGCTGATGGCAGTTTTCTGCTGTATGGAGACCACTGAGTACTCCTCCACCTCACCATTTGGACCAAGGAACACCTGAGGGAAGAACCACCTCAGAGTGAATGACACAAATGAAACAGTAAACCATCAGGCTTTTTTCCCCACAAGTCTATAAACTATTTGAACCATCACGTTCACATAAATAATGTGTTTTTATTTAGGAAGCCATGTCCAACTTAGATCCAACCAGTGGTGGACCGTCAGGGCCAGCCAAGCCTTCTCTGCTTGCCCAAGCACAATCAGAGTTATTAACTTACACTTTAGTATTTTTTTCTATTAATTAATATTATTCTGAAAAGTTTGTTCTCAGGCAGCACAGTGGCTCAGTTGGTAGAGCTGGCGCCTCTTAGCGAGCAGGTCCCTGGTTCAAACCCCGGTCCAGGGGCCTTTCTGGGTGGAGTTTGCATGTTCTCTCCGTGCATGTGTGGGATTTTTGGATGGATGGATGTTCTCTTTATTTCATAGCTTTCCTCCAGGTTGTGCAGCCTCCAGCAGCACATGTTTACGTTCAGCTTTTATCCAGTCATATTCCGACCATCATCTGTTGCTAGGGTCAAAGAAATCTGCCTCAAGGCCTTCAGAATCAACGGTGCAGGCACCTGTAGGTTGAAATAAATGATAATGAAACTGTTGAGAACAACAAAGTCCATGCTCAATAATCCAGGAATATAATCCAACATTTTTCAGTCAGGTCATCTGGACAGTTTCTTTTTTTGGTGCTGAAATGCTTCGCCTTCGATCCAGAAGGCTTCATCAGTCAAGGAAACACACAACAAAACTGATTCTTCCCCCAACAGCTTACTCCAAAGTGGAACAAACCAGTTCTGCTTGTGGTAAGATGGTCTCTTTGGTACGCCCCTCCTCCATTGCCGGCCCTCTTCCTTATTGACGGTCTTGTCAAACTGGTTGAAAACAACAAAGTTTGACACAGTTTGACACGACCGGGGGCGTCCAAGCACAGAGCTGGCCTTCTTGATGATCTTATCTAGCTGCTTCTTCTCAGCTGATGATAAGCTGCTGCTCCAACACACAACACCATAGAAGATGGCTGATGCCACTACCGAGTCAAAGCAGGTCTTCAGGAGCACCCCCTGCACTCCAAAACACCTCAGTCTCCTCAGCAGGTAGTCTGCTCTGACCCTTCCTGTAAAGTGCATCAGTGTTGTGAGACCAGTCCAGTTTATTGTTCAGGTGAACACCCAGGTACTTGTAAGAGTCCACGATCTCGATCTCCACTCCCTGGATGTTCACCGGGGTCAGTGTTGGGTCTGTGCGTGTGGAAATCCACCACCAGCTCCTTAGTTTTAGCAGCGTTGATCAGGAGGTGGTTCTGCTGGCACCAGTCCACCAAGTCTTGAGTCCGCTGTCTGATCCAGGTGTTTATCAGATACACTCAGTTGGGTTGTGGTGGCCACTAAATACATCTTGTATAACCATGTACTGTATAAAATACTTTCTAATGATGTTATAAGTATCATTATATAAGTTGTTTGTTGTTGTGGTTTCTCAGTTTTGTCTTGGTTTTGTTTTTTTTCTTTCCGCAGGTCTGGAGTCAGACTTAATGATGTTGATTTGTGTTCTCTTCATCTCTCTCTCTCTCTCTCTCTCTCTCTCTCTCTCCTCTTCCTGTCTCCTTCTTTACATTTTAACCCTTCTCTCACTTTTCTGCTTCGTTATCTTCTTTGTTTTTCATCCCTGTGTCCATTACATCTGAAACAAACCCAAAGCAGGTTCTAATAAAGTTTAATTTATATATGAAGTGGAGCATTAAGGACAGCCATGATGCTCTGCTTGTGAAAGTAAATCTGTTGGGCTTCACTTTGACACTCACACAATAATTCTGTGTCACAATGACGGACAGGACGAGGGAGGAAAAAAACCCTTTCATATTAATTTGCTTAAGGAGTGGAGATCCCGGGACCCGCCCCTTAGCCAGCAGTACTTTGTTCGGGCTGAGGAAGAGGAAGATGATACCATACCAGCTTTATTTATAGAGACTTTAAACACCCACAGGACCAAAGTGCTGTACACACAACAAAACAATCATACAGTCAGATAATAAAAATTATTAAAATGATTAAAAGTCACATAATAAAAGTGTAAAAAACAATCAATCAGATAATACAAGTGATTAAAATGATTAAAAGTCAACATTTCAGATGGTATCACAGGCCACGGAGAAGAGAAGGGTTTTAAGAGGAGATTTAAAAACAGACCGGGAAGAGTCTGATGTTGAAGGGAAGGTCGTTCCACAGGTTAGGAGCTGCCGCAGCTCCTGAACTGCTCCGGACAGACAGACGGATGAATGAAGGGTATTTCCAAACCCCCTCTTCACTCCACAATGAGGGACAAAAAAAAGCTAGTTGTGATCCATCCTGGTCTTCAAACACCACTATCCTGCAGATTGTCGTTGTTTCACTGCTCTTCAGCAGGTCTGAAGTTTTGCAGATGTCATCACTCATTTAATCAAATAAAAGAAACATATATAGGCTCCACAAAAGAGTTTGTGAAATGGATGTAAAGACCAAATAGTCTTCATGCTGCCTCTGGCTGTTTATCTTATGTTTAATGCAACAATAATCATCTCAAATGGCTTACAGATGGTAAAATCAAGGATCTTTTCAGTCATCAAAACACTGAGCTCCACCTGGTGGTGGATGGGTTAAATGCAGACAATTTCACCATTGTATGGGAACACACAATGGTGACAATACATACACATTATTATTATTATAAATAGTATTTAATGGTATGATTTAGTTGTACTGGGTGTAGGAACTAAACCGTAATTGCCAGTCTTTACTATAGACCCATTCAGTGTTAGTAAACAAAGAGGGCTGTGCGCACTTTGTGGCAACAGAAGTACTGCTTCAGAGGTTAAACCCAGGTGGTCTTCCAACATCACACAGACTCTAATGCTAAATAAATACCATCACCAGAATAAAAACGTCAGGTTGTTGCGTTTACGGTTGTTCAAACCGGTATTCAAAGGACGGGTTTAAATTCTACCGTCTACCAAGGGGTAATCAAGTCAAGTCAACTTTATTTATAGAGAACATTTAAAACAGAACCTGTTATCAAAGTGCTCAACAACAACAACAACAACAACAATCAATGAGTAAATTAAAGACAAAATATATAAACATATATATACAATACACTAATGATAATAACTGAAGAATTAATAAAAAGCATTTAAAACATGGTCACAGATTAAAAAAACACTAGATCAATTTACACTGAGTGAAATGTCTGAGAGAACAGATGAGTTTAAAGCAGAGATTTGAAGTGAGGAAGGGAGGTGGCCTGCCTGATGTTGGGGGGCAGGTTGAAGGGAGGT